CTTTAATATATAGCACATTCAGATCATCATGCAGAATTTTATTGCTCAAGTACGTGATAAAATTAATATTTTATGTCACTTCCAAAAAATCTATTGAAATAAAATTGACAAAAAGAACTAGATAACAAACAAGGAACTTAATCTAGATAAGGCATACCCATGTACTTTAAGGGGCGTCCATTAATCACGTGAGCGAGTTCTTAAGGATTTTTGGACCCCCCCTCCCCCTTGGTGATATTTGGTGATATTCAAAATTAACCCCCCCTCCCCCACTAAACATCACGTGTATTTTTAGTTACGTGAAAAAACTGTAAATTTTTTGAATCTTTTTTTAAATGTTTGAACTTTTTTAAAAAAAATAGTTAAAAAATAAATACACGTGATATCTTACTATACCCCTCCCTCCCCCACGTGATATTTCGTGATTTTTTGTCAAACCCCCCCTCCCCCTAAAAACCTCACGTGATTAATGAACGCCCCCTTATGGGTTTAATATACACGTTGACACTGATATTTAAGTTTATAAAAACGGGAAATCAATATTTAGCTAATTGCCTAGCAGCGTCAGTGACATGCACTCGATGCAGCGGCTCTTATTGAGGCGTTTAGCGGCGATGGCGTTGAACACGCGCGCATCGCGAGACGTTGAACAACTCGAAACAAATGACGCAGTCCCTGTGTCTAAATTTAACAACAGGCGTGATTGCGTCGGTGCCTTAGAACACAACGTGCACTATGGTACATCGTCCGCAAAATCAAAAGACCAGGACAAAATATATTATAATTGGTATCCATAAAATATACCGTAATTAATAAAAGAAATCCTCGAGTGGGACATCCCAGAAACATATTAAGAGCTTACACCACTGTAGATTTTTCGAAAAACCAAAAAAATTTTTTAGGTTTAAAATATATTTTGGACCTTTTAGAATATGAGAAACCTAAAACTTTCTTCTTTTACATGTAATTATGACACCGCTCAAATACATTAACAAAAAATATTATAAAGCAAAATGACAACATGTATCTTCTTAAATATACTAACATATGCTATTATAAAGCATTTATAATATAACTATATTTATAAGTATAAATAAACTGTAAAAGCATTTCTAACCAATAAATGATCAGGGCAGAGTCAACACATATAAGGATTTAGTATATTGCGGCTGACATTCGATTCCAATTGATAAGGAGATGTGCTGATTAGTTTTTGGCAAAGGCAGGTCCAGCCGTTTCGAATATACGGAGCAAAGGCTGCAGGAAATAGAAATCGAGTTTTTGAGAGATCGGATCATCCGATTTGAATGATCCAAAAAACATTCAATGCGTGATGACGGGGAGAAGGGGTGATTAGTTTTCGACAAAGGCAGGTCTAGCAGTTTCGGAGATACAGAGCTAAATATGCAAAAAATGGCAATTCTTGAGAGAACTGCCATGCACCCCACTAGTTTTTCGTTGAAATTTAACGATTTTGAGTAAAATGCCAAACAAACAAAAATCGATATGTTTGAAATCCGCTTGATGGGCACTTCAAAATGTTATTTTAAAAATACTGTAGAAAAATCGAGTGAAAAAAATTAAAATTGATATCGATTTTAACGCCGAAATGACTGCGGTACCGCCGTTTTTAATTTTATTTTTGCAAATATATTTTATTTTGTTACTTTTAAGTACAATAAATAACTACCTTTAATATTATGATTTTATTACTTTTCCTTCCACCCGAAAAGAAATGGCTAACATATACGTTTTGTTTGGATGCTACAGTAGTGTAACCCCTTAAACAATTAAAACAAGCATTGCTACCCCAGTACCCTTTTAAGCTCAGTTACTTAAATATATTTATACTGTATGAAGTAATTAATACTTCATATAATATGCATTCATTATCAGTAATTATTTCACTATTACTCTTCGTACACCCTCCTCAAGAAAACCACCTCACCGGATCCTCTTATATTCTAACGTATCGATCACGCATTTTGAAACCTGAATTATAACATGCCCTGACGGGGCCTCGTATCAAAACTTTCTTGGGGTCCCTCACGCAAAGCAAAAATTTCTCACAAAATAAAAAAAAAAATCATTCAATTAAAAGAAATCTTTATATGTCATCAATATTTATCTATCACTTTTCAACAATTCCTAGTTACAAGTCAAATGCACAAATATTGAATCATTTATAGCTGATGATGGCTATAATTTTTAACTAGGATTTAAATAGATGCCACCTAGATTTAAGACAGGTTCTAACCTGAAACTTACTATATCCCAACTAGATCCTACGCCCCTAGTTCAATTTCAAACTAAAACTTAGTTATGTGATGTTAATTAGCGCATAGACTCATAGAACAATTTTGTGACTCTGATTGTCTGTACTAAAGAAAACTAAAAAAAAAACTGATTTTTTGCAGCTTCAATAAAAGCATTTATAATATTTAGAATATAAATATGTGAGCTATCTAAAGTAATAAAATTCGTGTACTATAAGCAATAAGCACCGAAGCAACACTAGTTCGCCGTCTATGCAATATATTACTAACGAAATTTGCGCAATTCAGAAATTTCCTGGCATCGATAGAGATATCAGCTGATTATATGAACTCAAACAAACTGTTTACTATATTTTGGCAAATATTGGAGGTAAATCAAACAAAAAGAAATTTTGATCGTTTGTTGTGGAAATATAAGTGTATGTGTTTATATATATATATATATATATATATATGTATATATATATATATATATATATATATATATTTAAACGAGCGCATGTTTTATACAATGCAGCATTTGTTTTTGTCCGGCCGAAATTTTAAACTTACTTAAATTTATTTATGGTGTTTCTTCATACAAAGTATGATGGCAAACTTTGCTCTATAATGTTTTTGCAAATCCGAAATACAGTTCGGGCTAAACTTATATACATATAGAATAAACATACATACATACATACATACATACATACATACATACATAAACGACAAAATACGTCTGATTAATGAACAAAAAGTAAAGTTAGCTTAATATTAAAAACAAAATTTAACGTATGGTTAAAATTATTAACTTATAAAAATATGTTAATTATAATGTTTCTATTTGCTATACAAAGATGTAACGTCTTACATTTTGTTCTCGAACGTACAATTTAAAATAGATATATATTTTTTTGTTAAGATCAATTAATTAAAATAACGTATTTCAACGTCCAAAATAGAAAAAACTTAAGAAATATGTATATATTAGTGAGCAGAATATGTATTTCCATTTATATGAATGTGTAAGCATTTACTTACTCCTGTATAAGTTTACACATATGAGTTGAGCACAAGCTCTGCAAAGCGCTTGTCTCTTCGTGATGTTCTCGCTTTGTAATCAAAGTTTAAATATAAACATTAAGTACGCAATTACCGAAAATAGATACAACAATATATAAAATGATACCCTAGCAACATGTATAATATTTTAATTGAATTTTCCGTTAAATATTAATTTAACGGAATTTATCTCTTAGTCGGTTACATTACATTAAAGATACTATTCCAGCTGTAAATAATTAACTATTCAAAGCAAATAGAATATTATTAATACAATGTTAATCATATTGTGCTTTACTCAAAAATATTAGATATAACACAGAAAAAATATGTACAAAAAAGCAACACCAAAAATAATATGTGATTTATTGTAAGAACCAAAATAAGGATAAATTGTATTTTCCCATTACGTGTATTTCATTAAATTTTCTATCAAGTTTTCAAATATTATTTGGAATTTAATGACACATCTGCTTTATTTACAATTAACAGGAAAGAATATGTGTGAAGCGAATATGACGTGCGGATACGTGCCAATTGGCACCGCGATATTTATAAAATTTAGATATAATTGGACTAAATCCACATCAATCACAAAATTTATCACAACAGATACGAAAATCGATCAGAGGTCAAGGCCGAAGCGCGATCGAACAAAACAAAAAACCACGAATGATTTGTAGAGACAGCAAGTTAACTGCATGAAATTTATGGACAAGCTTATCATAATATTGATTGGATGCTTTTTTAGTACATTTGCTTATAAAACCCTGTTCAAAGATATATTATTTACTGACTGCGTTTTGATAAAATAGGAATAATATAAATAATTTACAAATGACGTTAAAAATTATAAACGTACAAGACTATTTATAAAAAATATTTGTTTTAATATATTTGTCAAAAATATAATTACGATCAATGATCAAGATTTGACCTGCCTACTTATGTAACCGACCCGAAAACTCTCGGGGTTCGCTCACACAATTAGCTGTAAATTATTATAAGCATGGAATCTAGAAAAGGGGACGAAAGTAATAACATGTCTATTTAGTATTGAGTGCAAATATATGTCTCATAATAAGAAGTTGTTCTATTCACTTCTTACGGTGATGGGATAAATCAATTACTATCTACTAATTAGGACTCCCACGTTAGTTAGTGAACTGAACTATGGGATTTAAACCAGAGGTCCCAGGTTCAATACCCTCATTGGGCAGCCTGATGTCACGCAGTAGTTACATCAGTTTTCACATGAAAAAATATAGATAAAAATCTGTTTTCAAGTAAAAGAGTCCTTACCCGGCATTGCGTCAACAAACAAAGTCATCACAACTTAGGTAGAACAACTTTTAGGTTTACCATCTAAAAAACCGACGTAGTTAGTTAAGTCAAATCATTACAACAGCTTATGGAACTCAGAAGTTTGAATCCTTTCGGAAATAATAACAAAAAAATCTACGAAATAAACTACGTGATCACCGCCAGTAATAGAATTTATCATATAATTTCGTTTATAATCGTTTTCTTTCTCACAATCATACCCACGAATGCACTTTTATTAACACTAGTACTACGTAATCTATTCTTGGAACTCTAATTGCAGAAATAAATCAAACGTCAACTTGTATATATATATATATATATATATATATATATAATACGTAAAAATCGACTAACCTTATCGGCTTGGCGAAGACAGTCTATGCGCCTCATCTTTCCCTTCTGATCAGGATTTGACAACACGCACATCGCGGGTCGTTTTCCGGTGATACTAAGTACGAAATCCTCTCTGCATTCCTGAGTAATGTCTTTACGCAACTTTCCCAGAAGCCGTGAAGCCCATTTCTGCTTTACTTCTGCTTTCTCGTTCTGAAAAGTTATCAATACCCAACGATTTGAAAATATTCCAGAATTATTTTATGTTCATGAAGTATTTGCAAACTTCATTTGGACATGTGGTTAGAGAATCGACCCAAAAGCCACAGCAGCCAATAGCAAACATTGCATAGATGCTAGACCGAGTCGACGAATTATAAACGCATTTGCAAACTGATGAAACTGATCAAAACACTCATGTTATTTTCTATACCAAATAATGAATTACTGTTTTTAAGTTTCAACAAAAAAAAGTTTGAATAAAAAAATAAAATCTCGCAAAGATTATTATTTTGCGATACACATTCGTAATTACTAAACAAAAATGTCTCTATAAAGTGTTTTTATAAAAAAAAAAAAAAAAACAATAACGAAAACATAATTAAAACCTTCCATTTTAAACAACTAAGACCAAATTATACTTCTTAAAAGTTGCTACTAAAAATGTCTAAAGTAAGTTTTGATGCAGCATTAAGTGTATGTTATAATAATTATTGTATGTTTGCGGTGGAGACGCCTTGTAGTTTTCGTTCGCTCTGTTTCAAATATTCGCATCGAGCGTTTCACATATTTGTGGGTCGTACTACTTTATGAAGTATCATGGAGTTATCTAAGTAAGCTACGTAACTATGCCAAACACATCCAACATAAACTCATAAGCAATTCTAGTTACGTAATGGACACACTAACCTGCAGTTCATCTTTACAATGTCGTTCTTCCTCTAATGACATTCGCTTCTCGTGCTTTTTATAATGTTTTCGCTTCGCAGCTTGCAGATTAAACCAAGTGTAGGAGAACGATTTGACAAAAGGTAGAAGAGCTTCGATAAACGGATGAAATTCATCCTGATCCATAAAATAGATAGAACACACATAAATAAAACATTGATCCAAACAATCACATCAAAATTATCCGCGATGCTTCAATATCGAAATTTCACTATGTTCATTATACAAATCAACTAATTTAAAAATAAAATTTATTAGAACAACTAACTCATTTCAAAATAATAACACGGCTCCCCCTTAAAAAGAGTTTAATAGAAGTAACAAAATGCAATTATCAGCATTATCTACAATATTTTCACTTTTATAGGTCACGATATTAATCGAGAGGCATAATATAAAATTCAATTTTCAAATTCAAAAAAAGTATCAATTTCGAATCAAGCGACCTTTCAAATTATGGTTTTCAAAACTGTCCATATATTTTGAAATCGCAAATTCTCGGTCTTTGAAGTTAAAAACAAAATTAGCGCGTTAAGCAAGTGCAAAATGTCATTGAAGCATTCGCAGATTTACCATTCAACACCGAACATTAATATAGAATATATAAGATGGGTAATATGTCCTTCGGCAAAAACTATTTTAAGAATTTTGTAAACTTGTGACTTTTCTCATCTGTTTATAATATAATTATTGCATAACTATAATAATCTCAGAACAAATTACCCAAGCATATAATACGACAAATATATTTGCAAAATAGTCACAGATTAAAAAACAGTTATACCTACAGAAAGTTATACTAATAGTTAATGCAAATATTAATTGAATCATTTTGCATATGATATTTTAAATGTAATTAAATTTTAAATATATTATTTTGAAAATGCTGAAAGCATTCATAATATTATTATTATTTGCAAAATAATTCAATATAATATACAAACTGAGTGCATAAACATGTTGATATGTGTGTCAGATCAATCGGTAATTTGTGATCGATTATAGAATAAACAATTTTAATATAAATTTTGCTTAGATCACACGATGTGCAGTAGAATAATTCTTAGCGGTTTTAGTAGTTTGCACCATTTTCTATTTTTATAATATAAAAATGCTATTTACAAAACATTACAAAAGCTGTAAAATAAATTGTAAATAATACATATTTTAAAGCGTTAACATCCAAAATAAAAATATTTATAAAAGTGTGCAATACAAATATAAGCACTAAGGCAGATTAAATTGCAAAACTGTAAATGTAAGAAAAAATATATTAAATTTTCTATTATGAATACATATTCGCCATAATCTGCTAACAATAATATTAATTCAGAAAACTTTCATTATCATGATGATAATTATAGACATAAGACTTATTTAACTAAATGCGATATGCATTTTTGTCAGAATAATATACAACAACTGTAAAATTGCCTTTACGAATTTTCATAACCATTTTGATATCCAAAAATATGCGGAAAAATAATATTAAGTAACTTAGATGTAAATATTTTAAATTATTTACTATAACTGTTATACTATATATACCTACAATATTAACTAAAAATGAGAAAAGTACGTACAAAGCTACTACAGATAAAAAATATAAAATAAGCAGCCATATCGATTCTAATGCTCAACGTGTGATTTAACCAGTTATAATGCATGGTGAATGCACAGGCATGAAGTGTGTATGAGAAAATATTCCATGATTAATAAATTGTGAATTATGATCCTTCGAATAAAATTATAATATCACATTAAAATTTAAACATCGATTAGCAAGGAAAATATCAGAGCGCGTCTACAGGAACTAACATCCTACGGTACCTACAATTGATATTATTTTGTGATTGCGTTTTTTTTAATTTATCGCCAAGTACGAAATATACAAACAATATATACATATACTTATTGTTTGAAGTTCTTGGGCATCCAGTCCGTAAACAATAATATGACTATTCAAAAATTACTATATAAATATGTTTTATTTCATGTGCGTTACTTATATACTTATACTTTCAAGTTTGTTATAATATTTTCAACATATTAAACTATTAGTGTTTTCGAACTATCTTTATGTCTAATTTGGGAAACGAACCGACAGAATATTACAGAGAATGTTCTAAAAGTAATTTTTTTTTATTTGGTAGTACACTGAAGGCATGCCCAATAAACTCTAATCAATAGATATTTAATCCGCACAACACTTAAATATTTCAGATATCACACCAAGGATTCATATATTAAATTTGCGAACATAATAATAATAATAATAATAAGGGTGCTCTGTCCAATGGCCGAACTCTTATCATGAACTCCGCGAACTCTTACTCTTATCACGAAAATAAAGTATGATAGATTTTCCATTGTTATTTTACACCGCAATGCCCAAATGGGCTGTTTTCAATTTGAAGTATATTTTTATTTATATGTGCAAGAGGCTCACTGCTGCATAATATCGGGTTATTCGAAACATATTCATATACATATGTAATGATATGTATTATGTATATAGACATTTATGTATATATACGCATATACGCACATATATATATATATTTCTTTATATATTTATAAAAATGTCTAAAAATTTGATTTTGTGAGGTAAAGTTTCCCTTTGATTTTAGATTTGTCCGAAGAATTACACATTTCTGAAAATTTATTCTTTTGGAAAAAAATGTCGTTAAAAATTTCCGTGAGCTTTCATGATTAAATAAATTTTCTCTAATAGAAAATCAGCATCTTAAAAGTGGGCGCAGGCCTTGAACATCGCGTGTAGCAGCACAAGGACGCGTCAAAGGAAGTGTGTGAATACAGAATCGCATTGTACGGAGCTACAATTAATAATTATTTCTTTGTAGTAAATTCGAGTTTAAAAGATGAATCAAATTTGAAATTATGACTAACATAATATTGCCTTATGTTTCCTTATATTCACAAAAATATTTAGAGCGATATCCTAATCACCAAATTTTAAAGTATTTATGTATTTAATTTGGTTGAAGTTTTAGTAACGTTTAACGCTTTAGTAAAGTTGTTTCGCGGAATCACCAAATATTTAAGATCAAAACTATATTTCGACGTAACAAAGAAATGTAGATAGATCAAAATGACAATTTGTTAAAATACTGTTGTTTTAAATGTTTGTTCAAGTACATATAGCATAAATGACAATAAAATATTAATTATGCAAATATATGATATTTAACGACATCTACGTTCAGGAAATCATTATTTTTTCTCTATTAAAATTTTGAACTAGAAATATCATACTGATAAAAAATCAAATTGATTATTTCAAATTGAAATTGAAGTTAAACGATTTTAAAAATTTCCTGCAAAACAAAGAAAACTGGACCAAAATGACAAAAAACTATGAATTGAATAACTTTCTATGTCAATCAAAAACCGTGGAACAAACATATTTATACATTCTGAATATATGTTGTTTGTTTACAATATTTTTGAGTATGTGCTACTAATTCATACAATTATAAAGTATATGAATAATATTAATAATAGTAATAGTGCATAAAGTACAGTTACTGACGCAGTAAAATAAAAAGATTTTATAGAGTTACGCTGTAAAAAGATTTTATAGAGTTATACTGCTATTTCAAAAAATTACTACCGTGAATGAACCAACAACACGATTCCGCAAAAAATGATAATCACAAACAAAAAATGGAATATACGCAGATTGTTGTAGACAAAAATATTAAACATCCGCCAAATCACCTTAATATTATATGTGCACAAAAAATTAATTTAAATCTTATTTTATTTTTATCACCTTACTGTAGAAAGTTCTTCATTCATGACTATGTTAAATACGTTTCTATGTGCAACATTGTGAAATGAACTTTATATACAAATACAACATCTTTATGCATCACGTTACGATCAGCAAATAAAAGTTTATGGTGATGTTAAGTTCACGATTTTAAGTTCACGTATATCTTAAAAGAATCAAAGTATCGAAGTATGAAAAAATGAATTAATTTATAGGGTCAAAAAGTATAGATAAAATGTAATCTCTTATAAAAATCGTTAATAAAAAAAAATTAGAGGTCTAGCTCAAAATCGAACAATTGATATTGAATATACATAAAAGTTGTACCTATTTCAATTAATTTTTATCGGTGCAGTTTTGCCCATGCACTTTATTAGACACATAGTTTATTTATTATTCATACACTTTAAATTTATTTATAAAAATATTTGCCGGAATATAATAATTCAAATCAATTTACTTATTAATTATAATTTCGTATGTAACAAATTATCGTCAACAATACATATTAGAGTCAACATTTACAAAAATACGTGCATATATGTACAATATATATATATATATATATATATATATATATATATATATATATGTGTGTGTGTGTGTGTGTGTGTGTGTGCATATATACACAATTTATATACACGAGTGTAAGTGTGTGCAGATGAGAATATGGGAAAGCGTCGAATTCAAATTACCTACATGCCTTAGAGAATATTGCGACAAGTTTTAAATTAATTCTCCATTCTATTTAACTTAATGTTATTAACCATGTAGAACCAAGTCTATCATTCACTTTCAAATTTCCACTATTTTTAATTAAAAAGCGATTTTTTCGAATCGGCAGTATCGACTGCGAATCGCATTTCTAGTGGTAACGATGTAGGAAGAATTTTGCATAAGGATCCATCATCATGCAACGGGGTATCTGTCCGCTCTCTTTAATGGCCATTTCATCGCGCGGATCGGCAACGTTACAGAATTACAAATGCATGTGGGATCATGCGGACGCCCCGTGCATCCTCAAGTACTGACCGGTGCGCCGTATGCAGATATGCCACAAAACAGAGAAGCACTTTGAAATGTACTGATTATCTATCAATTAAGATACCTTGCAACTATAATATTCAGAAAGTTTTACGCAAAACGAAGTGGAATATTAGTATTGAAAAATATTTCAATTTTTAGCGTTTTAGAATGATGTTTTCTTACTCTGTTTAACAAATTATTATAACTCATATGCTAGGCATGGTAAAACTCCGATAAAAACTTTAAAATATCGTATTGCATATAAAGTGCTTATTTGTGTATTAATAAAGCAGTAGGGTATTTAATAGTTATTATGCAAATTTATAGTATTTAGCAGTTGATCAAAATTAATTTTGTCTATCGCAATATAAATTACTAGTGCCTAAAATATCACGTTTATAATTCTAAATCAAAATAGGAAACAGATTATAAACAAAAAAAACTGCTAGGCAAATTTAGTACTCAAGATTAGAAGTAATTACTGCATTATGAGTTATTAAGAAAAATATGTTTACTGAGGAATACTTATGGGAAAGGCTTCTTCATAAAACTTGGTACATTTAATTGTTTAACAAATTTTAAGCAAAATAATATCATAAGCTATTGAAATGACAATATGCGTACATGTATAGCACAAATGTTGTGTCATCAAAATTAAATACAATCCTGTTCAAATACCAAAAGAACGAGAATTTCGCGATTTGTTTATGCTTCGCTTCTGCGTTGCGTCGCGAGCTAGGAGCTCCTCGGTTGGTTATGCGGCTGTCTTATATTTATACACGTCGGGAGTGCTACCGGGCTGTCGGCAGAGACTAGATAGATCTTCTGCCGTGCAGTTGATCTTCTCCCGTCGTCCTATTTCGACGTCGAATAACATCAGCAGTGCGGCGTCGCAACCAAGCACACGTACTTAGAGTAAAGATGAGCACACAGACACGATGATCAAGGAACGCTGCTACCAGCGATTCGTACTCGCTGCAGCACGGACCGCGTGTTTATTTTTAGGCTACATCATCTATATTGTCTGTGTACAAACTCTAAACGAGGCGTCGAAATAAGATTTCGAGTAAGTTCTTTGTTGACGCGCTCTCACAAATACCTAAAGTACCTGACGTACTTAATAACCACATCGGATCATTTCTTCATCAAGATCGAAGACACGTATTCCTACATAAACAACTCTCGTATCGACCGTCCGCATTGCACCCGAGTGCATACTACATATTCAAATCGCATATCCCGCCAATTGCATAACTAATATTCATGTATGTTTTAGCCTCCAATAAGTTCTTTTTGATTTATGCAACAGATCGTGACAAATTAACGAATTTCTAAAAAGTTAAAAACAGTAACAGTAACATATTAACAATGAAAACAAACAGTAAAAGAACAACAAATCTTTAAAATTAACAAAGGAAAACAATTAGATCAATTCAAAAGACCATCAATTCAACTGGGAATACATTGACCAATACATGTATTTACACACAACACGAATCATGCTATATGTCCAGACTCGCAACTTCCGCTTTTGATGCAGATCTCTCAAAATATCCCCTTACTATCGACAACGAGGTAAATATAACTCGTATCAAAATATAATGTGAGTAGTACGGCCAAGAAAAAGATATTAGAAAATTAACTTGAAAAAACTATTGCATCAAAATATAAGGAGAATTTTGAAAATATAATCAGCGAAGACCGCGATGTTGTAACAGGACATAAAGCATGGTACACAACAACATGGTTAATGGTATTTTTGTTAATTACATATTGTAATTGTAATTGCTGCAGTGGTAGCACTATAGCACCTGTCCGGACGATGGAGTTTGAAGATAAGACGAGACATCCGGTTCGACCATACAGCTTCTCAGATTGTCGGGAATGAACATGCCTCCGACATGCGTCTGCCAGAGAGCCCTTTGGAACACCTCACCCTTTCTGCTATGTCTTCGGGCATCTGGCTCTGGACCTCGACTCTCACAATATCCGAATCTTGCTCAGAATCCTGGATCCGCCGAATGTGCAGAACACGAACATAGTACTTCACAGTGTATGGACAACTATTAATGTTCGCAAAACTTCGAATATGTTTTGATCATAAACAATGAACTGATCAAAATAAACTCATAAACTGTGTGATAAATTTAATTTGCTTGCAGAATTAAAAAAACTTTTTATTATATATTTGTACTTTCATCAACACAGAATAGATGTTACTTTAAACACAAGAAAATAATTTTGCAAAATCACTGTTGAATTAACATAAATTATTTCAAATATAACCATACAATTCAAACACATACTAAAGTATCACATATGTACAAAAATAACATTTCACGAGGATTGATTGCAAAATACTGAAATGGCCAGCGGGATAGGGACGCCGCGACGATCGCTGAGGCACTGAACTATATTTATATGCAGTGCGACGTACGGCGCACGAGGTTCATGAAACGCGCGACTCCCGTGCTTCAATCGACGCAGAATTCAAAAATGGAACAGACGCAGCGCCACGCGCCGAAACGAACGGAAACCAGGTGCATGCAGGTTGCCGCCAAAGCATGCACTCGGGCTCCGAACCACCGCTCGATATACGAATAAAGGAATACCGAAAAAGCTATAAATAAAAGAGATGACATAAAAATTGCATAACAGGTAATGTAAAAATAACGATCCTTCAAGTATTACAACGCCCGAAATATTTTTTTTATAACATCAGTATTTATGTTAATAACACCACAAAGGAATGGATTATCAATAACATGATTCAATCATGACAATATACATGATACACAAAGAAAATTAAATATTAAACAAATTTAAAATATACGTATAGTAAAAAATAATCATAAAAAACACTTACTGCTTACAACAGCTTCCAATTGACTATTCGAAACTGAAACATTTTTATGGATGAAGAAATAACTGAATGTAATCAACTCAACTTTTTAAATTCTCCTGAACTAGATCAACCCACAATCACAATAAGAAATGTTCAATAATTCCTTGTGTGATTTCAAAAATTATTAAAGCTGAGGATCAATCAGTATGTCTCATTCACCACTGATCAGGATTAATCATTCTCGGTCGCCAAATAAGATTGCACCCCTAAATATGAAATGAAATACCATTATTTTGCTTTAATAAGTTTTTATATTATACATAAAATAGGAACTATCCTGCTCTATGTGAATCACTGATTTAAAAACATGATCGTGTAAACTCTCGCATATTTCAGATCTAGGCACAAAGTAACAAAGATAAATAATCTTTTATCAACAAGTTACATATCTCACATAATAAAATGTACATAATACTTATAAATAATATCAGATTATAACCACTGGCTCCCTTGATAATTTAATATGTTTCAGGCAAATTTCCTAAAATAAAATGTCTAAAATATATATAAGGGAATGACAGGTGAAGATCACGAACATAAACTCAATTTTATACTAAATTACATTATATACAATAAAATATCTGATTAAAAATCAAACAAACCCATCAATTATGAGCCTTGTTAAGTAAAAATACCAAGTTAAGTCATTTAAAAAAAAATAATAATAATAAATTATATACAGTTTTTGAGATTCATGACAAATCATTAAAGACGTATATGTTATAATTGTTTAGATTTAGATTTTTTACTAAAAGGAAAATGAATTTTGTTTTTGCGCCTCTTAATTTCTTCATCGACTATTGATGAATCGGTGGAGTAAGTTTCTTCATCAACTAAATAGTTTTGTTTATTTTCCGTACTATCTTTATCAGTACTTTCTTTTTCGAAAGCTGACCCTAATTCAGCACTATATGACCGCACCATGCCCTCCGATCCGGTACTAACAAGACGAGAATTTCTTGGTGGTTTCATTGGAACATCAGATGCTCTTGTCTGTATTGGTTTTTTTATTGGGGGTTTAGATGATATTGCACGAATTGCGGTGGAGCTCTTAGCGGTAGCCAGGAGGGCACCGTTGGAATGGCATTCTTCTCCTGTCCAGTTGGTGCTATAAAATATAAAATTTCAATTCACAGATAGATTTTAAGAATTAATCATTCAAATATCAATACCCTTGAAAAAGGTCTACCAAAGGTGTTGACATAATGATATTTATAACATCCTTATTTCATACTCTAGATATTGAAGAACTTTTGTTAGTAAACTATGAAAAATAATAAAAACTATATATATATATATATATATATATATATATATATATACATATATATATATATATTTATTTATTTATTTATATTTATGTATGCAGTGGTACTACGCCTTACGAGCGACTCGTCATACGTGTTAATATAATTTTTAACAAGGATTTTCTGTATCTGAAACCGCATACAAATATTTAAAATCAATTATTTATAGTTAAAAATTTCAATTAACTAATATTAATTGTTCCATTATTCTTGTTGTCATATACAACAATTCACACCAATTGAGATTATTTATATTCTTATATCGATAAAAATATTTAATTTTATAATCATTTTCCAAACAAATGAGCCATTACACTTGAAATAAAGCAAGAATACATTGAAAAATGTGACCAAAGTGTGCGAGTAGTGGATTTAACGAGGGTGTTCTTTTAAAGAACTAATATAGTAATAATTTAGTTATTTTTCATTTAGTAATTTGCTATATTTTTGGAGAAAATATATTTGATTTTAGCAATAAATGTTTCATTTCTTTTTATTAATAAAAAAAAACATTCTCCTTGAACAAATTAATGAAATTTCAATGTATTTATATGGAAAAAATTGCTTCGATATATGAGAAATTCGACATGCGAGCGTGAAAATGGATCGAATTAAACTCGTAAGACGGGGTACCACTGCACATATATAATAAAATATTTTATAGTAATTTTGATGTTGTTATATGCGAGACACGATGTTCAGGGCAATACATCAAATAAAAATTGTAGAAATTTATAGAATCTTTATCATTGTCATATGCTTCGGCATATTATCTTATATCATCTCTAGTGGAATGTAAATTATAATGTCCCTAATTAACTGCTGATAATAATCATAATTCACTATAACACTACTACACTATCTTTGTCAGTTTAAATAAAAAATATTTATAGATTAAAATTTATAGTATTAGATAAAGCAATTGCATGTTGCCCTGCTCCAATCCAAAAATAAATCAAAATAGTGTTTTATTGTAAATTATTATTATTTTCATCCGTTAGTTAGAAATATTCCAATTTACATTCCACCTAAGATGGCATCAGTTGATATGTTGAAACGTATGAAAATAAAGTTTTGTAAATTTCTATAATTTTTATTTGACGTATTGCTCTGAAGATTGTGTCTCACACACACACATATATATATATGTATATATATATTGTTTATATGATTTAGTAGTTAATTTTGATGTTGAAATATATGAGTGAGTTCTTGAGGGCGATACATCAAACAAAGAAATGGCAAAGATTTATAAAATAATCTTTAATTCCAAACGTTTCGACATTCAATTTAAAAAAAAGTCTTTGGCCTCGGGTTGTGTAGAGATAACATAGCCCCTGGTCTGTGCAATAATACTTAAAAAAAAATTCCACAGTTTTGTAAAACAAAACTCTCATTTTTCTTACTAAAAAAATTCATGATTATCGACTGGTTGGTTGTATCAATGTTAGTGCAAAATTCTGTGATGTGTACACATTTTTAGATATAAAATACTATGTTCAATATCCACTGATGATGACATTAAATTGAATGTCGAATCGTTTGGAATTAAAGATTATTTTATAAATCTTTGCCTTTTTTTTGTTTGATGTATCGCCCTCAAGAACTCACTCATATTGTTTATATATATATATATATATATATATATATATATATATATATATATATATATATATATCTGTGTGTGTGTATTTGGCTATGGTATGATATTACATCTTATACGAAAAACAATTTTAATAATATGCTTGACATATTTCTGCAGAGCTCTGTATGAAATTTGCTATACCTCTCTCCAGAACCGACAATGAACTGAGCTGTAGTGCTTGGAATAGCTTGAGAAGGTGTAGTTTGTCTTGAAGGTTCTGTGCAAATACTCTCTGCTTCCTCGCTCCCAGAAGATTCCTCTGCCCAACCTAAATTTTGGATAAAAAAAATAAATTGTCAATACATAATAACAAAGTCAATAGTAGATGAAAATGTCACATAATTTTAGTTTAAATCATTAATTTATTGAGATTCCTAGGGTTTCTATCTTTTGCAGAACAAACATTTTTAACAATTTCTTTATAACAAACATTCAAAAATAAATCAAATTTCTTCTGAACAATATAATGTACAATGTACAAAATATGCAATTTTATTTCTTTATATATAATTATATTTTATACGTTTTATTCAACAACAGTAGATATGAAGCCAATTAATCAAAATAAGCTATTACATTTCCAAATGAATGAATGAAAATAACCACACATGAAAATATCAATAGTTAAATTAACAATAGACTCTTCATTTGTTTATGTTCTGAACAAAAGGAAGCCAAATAGAAAAACTCAAATTCAAAATATACGACCTCACAATACATTTAAATAAAATAATAAAAATAGTGTATTTAGTTCAAACAAACACTCTAGTTAATAAACCATATATTTCTAGAGAAGTAATATGATTTAAATGAAAAAATTAGTAAACTGGCTATAGCAGAATATACTGAAGCAATAAATATTAATTTGCAATAATAATACCATATACAAAAATAAAAAAGCGCTAACTAATGCATGCCAATAATATAATTTCTTACCTCTGTACTGCATTTAAGTAACTTATTTCCCATGAAACTAACCCAATGCAGCAGATAAACACAATAATATTATGTAAGGATTTATTCCAGAAAACTTTTAAGTTAACACAGATCATTGGATAGATTAATGTAATGTAATGTCAACAATCAATTTTCCATCAAATATTTAAAATATCAGAAAAAATCTCCATAAATGTAATTTTCCTGTACATTATTCTACCCAATGCATTTACATAAATTTCATACAAATATCTCTTTCATCCCGATTATATATCCTTTCAAACATTCCAACAATAATAAATAACAATGAACAAGAATAAGAAAAATAACAGTTTTGTTTGGACATAAAAATACTCTTCAATTAAAATGAATTTTCATGACTTCTTATGTGAATATTGCGCTCGAACACTTCCCACTGCCTTACATGAATAAAACATTCTGCAGATCAAGTAAATCATGGTCATTGCAGATTCCCAAAAATATGTATCTCACAAGCATTTAATGTATTAATTATGAAGCTAAAATTCGCAGTATTACTTCTGGTTACAGTGAAAAATAAAGTATCGGCGCACCAGATAAAAATAGTATAGCAAATTTTCAAATACATAATTAAAATTAATAAATACATGATCTATACTATGTACATACATACATAATTATATAAAAGTTCTAATCATCTAATTATCACATATAACCTTAGTTAAATGAATATTTCGCATATTTATCCATTTTAACATTCCATTAATGTGATAAAATAACTACCAAAAATTTCCAAGAACAAATTAAAGCATCAAATAATTATCAATTCAATAAGCACTGAAGTTAAATATTAAATACAGCAGTATCGCTCTTATCTTACCAAACATGCTGCTGGTAACTAACCGTCAAAGCAATAATTTAAATCTGATTAGGGTGCCACTCCATCAATCCCATATATAGATTTCAAATATATTCTTATACATGAGAATGAAAATCACGAATTCAAATAAAAGTCTGATGTTGAATTTTCACTTGAGATCAGTGTTTCATCAGGACTCTTACCATGCCCCCCTAAGGATAGGGAACCCTCTTCATCTAAGTCATCCTGGCTGCCGCTCACTCGACCTTCAATATATATTGTTTTGATTATAAATTACAAATAAAAGATTTGATATTAGTCATGCTCAAATATTACCTCGTAATCCCTTCGTGGAGTTACCAGATTTGTACAAATATCCTTCCAAATACTGCAGTCCATTGTTGTTGATTATGTTGAATCCACATATAGCCTCGATCTATGCATGGGCAAAGTTGTAGATATATTATCTGTTTATTCTTTAATTGTTAAATGATCAAAATATATATGTATACACATAAATACATATATATATAAACAAAAAAAAGTAAATTCATATGAACATAAATATTTAAAAATCGACATAACAGAGGTTGACTTTCCATCATAATTGTGATAAGTGTGGCTAGATAATGAACAGAAGAAAAATAATCTCCCCAGACAAAAATAGACTTGAATTTACTCAAAGTCATTATATATACATCTGCTTCAGTATGATCATTAAGTCTTAATTAAATTTTATATTACAAGTGTATATTTTAGAAAGAAGTGCTAAATATTTTTCAATGTTACTTACTTTTTTATATAAAAGTTTTATATATAAGCACATATGATTATAGGTGTGTGTGTGTGTTATATAAAATATTTAATATTATATAACATTTGTGTAACTATTCTTTTCATTTTTTGTTACATACATCCCATGGATACCAACCTGCTTCCATCTTTGTACTCTTTCTTGTAGTTCATTTGTAACCTCACTTAACGAATTTCTAGCTTCAACTATACTCCTATCAACATCATCAATTGATTTACCATGTGTGGAAACAAAAGCTCCAACAAGACTTGACCTCTTTTTCCTCAGTTTTTCACACTAAAAATATTTGTTGATAGTATTTGGTAATGATATAAAATATAATGTGAATTAGAAGTAATAAAAAAAAACCATACAGCATCTCTTGCTTGTGATAATTGCTTTTCGGCATTCAATCTCTTTTTCTGGTGTGCCTTATTTTCTAGTTCATGAGTCAATTGCAGCCAGGCTTGTAGACCTTGAGGAGCAGCCCAGCATCTATCTTCCAATTCACCTTCAGCTTGAGATAATTTTAATCTTAACATCTAAAAATGATTTATGTCAATGATAATCTTGTAGCTAAGATCAATAACTATCTTGTCCAACTTTTAATTTTGTAGATATTTAAATCGATCCATTTTTTAACATTCATTCATTTAATAATATATTTAATATATGTTATTAAGGTTATGATTCATATTGTAAAATATCTAATAATATGTATCGTTAGATACATATATTAGCAAAATATATATGACAATCATTTATAAACCATAATATTTCAGTGCACGACTGTTGTTGAGTGCATATTATACTTATTTTAAACCACCTGTTCACACAACATTTTAACTAAAATGATTTTCACTGCTTCAAGTTTCACTGAGTAATATTAGAAAAGATGTAACTAATATATTTAATAAACAAAAAACATTTGAATTTAAATCAATGTAAAATTACCTCATTCTCTTGCTTTAATTTTTGTACTTCTAGATCAGATCCAGTAATTGGTAGCTGGGGTGTTTCAAGCAACTTTCTCTCTAAGTTCAGTTTCTCTGTATTTACATTTTCTTGTTCTAACCTAGCACGCTCTAGTTCCTATTTAATTTTTTTAAATTAATAATATAGAGTAATGATTAATTAATTTCATTACCCACTGTAGTACAATTCAGGAAACTATAAATAATTATTGAAAGTCAAATTACACTTTTGTAATATTTCAACAATTTCACTATAATATGGTTTTTCGCAATCAATATCCAAAAATGTTTCATTCATGCAATACAACTAGTCTTTATGTTTCTAGACATAAAATTTTTCAAGGTTTTATAACACAACTTTAAATGAATAAAAACATCATACTAAAAATTATTTAAAATTATTTATATACTATGTTTATATAAATATAGAAATAAATTTCATTAAAAAATGATACTAATTTAAAATACTCAAAATTTTACCTTCTGGAGATCCTCTAATGCAACTTCTGCCTTGTGCAGTCCTTCCATATCTTGTGCCATTCTTTTAAGATGCTTTCTTGCATTTTTGTTCTGTTGATATGCATACCAACATCCACCGATAGCACTAACTAGAAGCGCTACTAGTGTCAAGTCTTTCCATCGATTACCAGAATCTGTTAGAATGAAAACATTAATATATAAGCGTATATACAAATATATCATCTGCCAAAAATTTAATTACTATATATTTGCTAACATTTATCTGACATAGAATATTTATCATCTGAATAAGCAACAAAACATATCAAATTATGTAACTATAATTAAGAAAAATCATAAAAAAATTGCCGAATAGAATTGAATTGAATTAAATCTATATGAAAAGTTATAAACATATAAAATATAAACATATTGATTTCATATGAAATAAAAAAACATATTTAAAACTTCTATGATTAAATTAATACCTTTTGGAGGTCCAAACAGAACCACATCCATTGCTTTCAAAGCAATCTTTTGCTTATGAATAGGGTCTTTAATACCTAGAACATTAGTTACATAATTCATATTGTTAACGGCCAACCTGAACAAAAAAATAAAATAAAATGAGAAAAATTCAATTGCATAATAATAATTGTTATAGAAAATATACCTAGGCAATTTGGCTCCTGTTACACGATTTTGTACAAATGTTTGTACATATTGAGGTAGTTCAACATTCTGCGCTAGCCATTCTGAAGTCTGTTCAACGGTCCAGTTATGAACCTATAATAGAAAAGTACTAGCATGATTAATAAACAATATGATATTGAACAACAGATTACACAGGCCAACAAAGAAAATGGTGCAAAAGATTTTAATGCTGTTTTTAAGTATATTTGGGGCGTTGATTTTAAAAATAACATTGTTTTTTTTCTATGAGCTTTAGTTTTCAAGATATGATATATATGATATATAAGGAATGAAAGTACAAAATAGTAATACAATTCAGAATGTAATTTTAATGAGATATGCCTACTCTTACATACAAACTTACAAGACCCATTTGGCCTTAGTTGGGGCACTGTGAAAAGTTCTTTTCCGTGACGACCTAGAATGGACCTGGTTTCGGGAACTTCTTTTCAAGTTCCAAACTAGAGCTGATTCAAAAAAATGGTTTGCAGATTTGAAATCAGCGCAAAAAATACTATAAGAAACAGCTCTAACATTTGATGCACCAAACAAAAAAAAAAAAATTGTAGGCCTGTGTTATAAAAGTACTATGTAATTTCTATAAACTATAAACAATACTTAATTCGATGGAGTATATGGTCTCCACATCACATTCAATGTTTCATTAAAGAAAATATCTCATTATGTCATCCTTAACATTAACTAACCTCTGATCTCAGCCAAGCCTCCCACAATTCTCTGACAGAAATATGCATATCATCATTATAATGAAAGGCTTTCTGTCGCCTTTCATAGCCTGAAGCATATTTTAACTCCTCTCGTAAAAACTGGTAAAAAGTAACAGTTTAACTGGTCAATTTAAGTGTATGAATTTAAGGTTATGTGAATGAATTGTTACTACTCACATCATCAGACTCAGATAAATCAATATTTCCATTAGCATCATCATCAAGTTGTTTATGAAGGGATTGAATTGCTTCGAGACCTATTTTATCATGGTCGGCAGCAGCGGCGAGGCAAGCTAAATCATCATTACAAGTTGCGCTGGAGCCTTCAGAAAAAAAAATTATTGAATAATTTTCCTAATGCAAAAAATTAAAACCTATTTCGACTTACTAGTTTCTTCGTTCACTGCTTGCGAGATCACTTCACTAATCACCGAATACGAGTTTTTTTTCCCATGGCTGTTTTGAGTTGGAGGGCTATTAATTTTTCCAACATCTGAAGTGACCTCGGCCCGCACCACAATTACGTTTGGATTTAACAGAATTTGGCAAAGAATCACTAATAAAACACCAATTTCCATATTGCAGGTCAATTATAATATATATCGTGTGACTGTCAAAAAACAGTTTCGAAGCGTCACCATCACAAAATCTAAATTTTGACGAAAAAAACAATTGGCTGGAAATGTTTGACAGATATTTTTACATTATAAATTGTCTCAAAATTTTTGTTTTTACAAATACTTATAACAAATGAGAAATGTTATTGTGTATATGTTGACAACTAGCGAACGTTCATCATTTTATGGCACGACACGGCGTTACCACTGTAAAAATAACATATAACATAACATTGAAACGCCAATGCGCCAATGAGCGAGTATCCCACTGATTCCACTGACGATATTCATATCGATACAAGCAAAGCAAACGTAAAATCGGCAAGTAATTAATCTTTTACAATTGGTTATATAAATTGTTTAATGTACATAATATACACATAATATATATATATTAGAATAGTCTTGAATTTGATGTTGATATAATATATTTGAGTTTAAAAATCGGGCGTTACATATCAATAAAAATAGTATGAGAGGTTTTAGAAATTTATTTAAAATCCATACGTTTCAGCTAGCATCTTAGCCTTCATTCAGTTGCAATCAATTTAACTATGAAAATTAAAACTAAATAAATTATATGTAAAAAATTTCATAGAAAAACAATAATAATAATAATAATAAAACACAATTTTGTATCCTAATATAACACATGAAAACGTTATTAACCCATGGTATGAGTATGTGCACAGTGGTAAATTATATATTTTTTAACATCACAGATGATAAAACACACGAATAAACATGAATAACTTAACAAGTTGTCGAAACTATGTATTTACCATCAAAACTATGTATTTATCAAACGAAACTATGTATTATTATATTGCCTAGAGTATTTACTATCCGGAGTCTAAGATAGAAATGTCACGTTTTTTCTATCTTACACATTTAACACATATGTGTTGAAATTTTCGAGAAATTTAAAAATCGATGGAATCTTGTCGTTTTTTTAAAAAAATTGACACGCTCTTTAGGAACCACGTGTTTGTTTCGTTCAGAGCCGTGTTGTCGAATCGTTTGTTTATGACCCTGTCGTTATGCAATTGCAAAAACAACCCCTCAGCCACTCTCAACGAATCTTCTTTTAATTACGTTCTCTAAACGTACGTAAAATTTTTGAGTTGAAAAAATCTATATTATGATTTAAATTATTTAGGTTTTGAATTGTTTGGGATTTTTTGAGTTATTTTTATGTTGATGAAGGCGCTTACTCAGGTTTTGGCTAGTTTCTCCAATATAAAAAGGTTCACAAGTAGAGCAATTAATCTGATATACTAAGTTCCTGAGGCGGTCAGAAATAAACTTACAATTAGATTTAATTTGTGTAAAAATAGAACTAAAGATTGTATCGCAATTACATATTTAATTATATATATATATATATATATATATATATATATATATATATATATATATTGAAGAAAATTGACCTAACCCTTCCGAACATAACAATTTACCATACATTGAAGAACTGTATTTTCCTTGGAAAAATCTTTTTCTATAAATCAGGACTTTGGTAAACAACTTTAGTACAACGACTAGCACTATTTTTACCTCGAATATCGAACTATTTTTACCTCGAACCCTTATAACTTAAAAATATCGTCTATCAAATAATTTGCCTGGATTGCAATTTAATTTACACAGGAGAAACGAGCCTAAATTTAATTAAACGACTATAACAACACAGTAGCAATTCAAGAAGTCCCTTAGAACTATGTTCACGGACCACATTAATACTTTTAGATAGACCTTTTTAACTCGACTTCGAAGAAAGTTTATTTAAAAGGAGAAGTTAGTGAAGGATCATTTCTAACAATTTATAATGATAAAGCAATAAATAACAGGAATGAACCTTTTTTTAGACAATATTTCCAAATTTCTTGCAGAACAATAAAAAATATGTCCAAGGATTCCACAATTAGAATATTTTTTTAAAAAACATTCTCCATTATGTCTTCAACCAGTTTGCGGATAACACATATACATTGCACACATACTATTTGTGATTTTTTAAAGCTAGTATTTTGTAAAATATTGTTTAAATACAGTTTAATATTTATATTGCATAGCGTAGTGCATTACCATATCCTGATACCATGGATTATTGAATTTTCTGTTTGTAACACTAAGATTAACAAATTGTAAGTACTTTTAACTCTTTATAATTTTTTCAATTTTTTTGTTTCAGTTTTTGAATTTGATTTTAATTTTCCACTGAATGAAAGCTAGGACTATAGTCGAAACGTATGGATGTAAAATAAATTCTTAAAAAAATGTGCGATTTTATCGATGCTATGCCCGATTATTAGACAATGTATAATTTGAATACAATATGTAAAAATAACATAAGTACCGTTTTTATATATAATTATCTGCTTCAACTGATTTTGCGTTTAGTTTACCGTGACACATTAAAAATGAAATTTGCGAATAAAATCAATGCGCTAATGCTAATGTAATACTTATTATTAGATCAATTGCAACTTCTTAGTTTAAGATAAGATTAGTAAATAGATTTTTATTGAAACATATTAAAGTAAATATACTTACAGATAAGAATTGGAACTACAACAGCAGCTTATAAATGTATATTGCATGGACCACATTCTTTAATTAAACGGATTAGAATGTTATTCAATTTAAATTGGTTGTTGTACACGCATATGCATTGTTATGAATACAATTGAAACATATAGACAATTCATTCTGTCGATTCATTCATATGATACTGCTTTTATTCATAAATATGGTTTGAGATTTGTATCTATTTGTAAATTTGATTAAATATTTGTTTCTTATTTTATTATATAAAAATATCATGATTATTACCGTATTTATTGCTATTTCAATAAACATATATATACACAAATATGTATGTATGGAAGAATGTATATGTATATGTATATATATATATATATATATATATATATATATATATATACAGGGCGCCCCAGACCTTGACGTCAAACAAAATGAACTGAATCAAACAACTCATCCGACTTATAATTCGAATCAAAATGAACTAAATTATATGACTACTGATCCGAATTAAAATGAACCAAATCATATGACTTCTCTTCTTACTTTGAAGAAATTTTATCCCAAAAAAGTTACTAAAATGCTGCATTGTCTTTACTATGTTTGATAATGGTTTATTGGACTGAAAGCTGAGGGAGCATCCGTTCGTAATAAAATAAATATTAATATTTAATTTAGATAATAAATGTTTGTTTTAGTAATCAAATATTAATTTAATCGATTCAAATTTGTTTTTGTCATGTGGATGGTACAGAAAGCAATACTATTTGTGGTATGGCTAAAATATTTACAGAATGCACCAAGGAAATGAGTGCTTGGGGTGGTATGGGGAAACAAGTTTTGATTTAAACGTTTCATTGATACAATTATTAAAAGCCAGAAGGGCAGAAATAATATAAAAGAAATAGTATTTATGGTGAACTAAACTTTAATATGGAATTAATAATATATAAAGCATTTGCCATATTAGGACTCACTTGTAGATAAGTAGCTAAAGCGACTGGACCTGAATCAGAAGTCCCGCTCCGAGAAGCCTGATCTGATGTTAATCAGTAGTTAAACTACTATATCTAATTCCATATTAAAGTTTGGTCCACTACCATGAATATTATATTATTTCTGCACTTCTGGCTTTTAATTATTCTGTTAATAGTTCAGCCAACTACTGTAGTTACATTGATTTTCACTTGGAAATATAAATAGCAATATGTTTCCAAGCAAAAATAGCCCTCATCTGGCATTGCTGCATCAATAACATATTCGCCCTATTACAGAAATTGTAATAATAAAATTTATCACACAGAGATAAAACAACTGTTTGGGTTGCCACCTGACTAAAATCGATATAGTATTAAGCCATAAGTCAATTTAGCCTAGCATCTTATAGGACACTTAAGTTTTGATTGCTGTTCAAAACAATAAATTAATAATCTAAACAATCTAACAATCGCCGGCAAAATATTGAAATTTATTACCAATAAATCAAGTTTAGCATAATAGATTTTCAAAAGAAGTGCTTATGCAAGTGATTACTTAAAAGCATTGTACAAATCCGGAAGAACAAGTTCACTAGTAAATTACCTAAATTACAAACATATTATTAAATCTAATGAAGCAGTTAGAGCAAATTCAATTGTGATACAATCTGCAAGCTTATATCTGTTCATATATAAGCTTGGGCTACATTATATCTTTTTTAGATCAATCCAGATGTTTCTCTACATTTTCTTTGCAAGTAGAGGTTGTCGGAGCGTATAATTTGTGGTATGGTAGAGGAATATATATACATGAGATACAAGATGTAAGATCAGTAGTATGTGAGTGAATTTTCGAGACGTGGTGAGGGTGAGGGTTGGTCGTAAGTGTTCGTGGGAGTGACTTTTGAAGAATGCAAAAGAACACATTGATATAAGATTTGGAAGAATACTTTGAGAGTAAAATATGTTGTGGCAAGATAAAATAGTCAAATACGTACTTAGTGGGTTTTTGAATTATAAATGTTACCATACGCAAAACTTTCGAGATTGGATTCTTCTCAGCAATCGTCAAGTAAGAATTAACTATCAAAATGAACAGAAATACACAAATATATTCACATGCGCATTTTTACTCTAAACGACTCTAAAGGAGAAAAAATATAATTTAATTCCGATTATTTAGCAAAATATGACAATGCCTTGAAAAAAAAGTAAAAAAGTTTGGAAAAGAACAATTCTTAAAGCTATACTATTAAATTTGCATCATCGTCATATTGTACCTATGGACAAATCCAACTAATTAAACTATGATTTTGTCCATTAATCTCGATAATTTTCTAGCGTTTAGCTGAAATGCGTTCATAATACGTAAAAACCAATCTTTCCAATATATAAAATATCAAATGAGTACTTAAGTTCACTCTTACGATAAGTTTCTTAATTGGATTGCATTACTAAGTTTATGCTCATGATGTTTACTTATTGTTAGCTGTTTTGATTCTATATCTGATTGTTATAAAAAGGTTATAATAATAAATTATACGTGTTATAATAATAAATTATAATAAATGGAAGTATGCCCGAAGGCAGGTCCATGGTTTATATATATAATCCGTTTCGACACGGATTGTGTGCCATCATTCAGCAAATTTCTTTGTTAACTGTATCTAAAAAATTATTTAAAAATATGGTTTTAAGGTATTATTCAAAAAAAT